CGTTCTCCATGACGGATTGGGGGGCCCTGGGCGGGTCGTGGGCCCCCCCTCCTCCTCCTCGTGCCCGGTTCCTGGCGCGCCAGGCGTGGAAAGTCCGCAGCCGGCGGTGGAGTTCGGAGCGGCAACTCTCAAGCAGAGGCAGGTCTGGGGTCACCACATCGCCAACGTCAACGTCGTCATCCTCATCGTCATCCTCATCGTCATCATCATCGTCACCATCACAGCCATCACCATTACAGCCATCACCATCATAGCCATCACCATCACAGCCATCACCATCACAGCCATCACCATCACAGCCATCACCATCATAGCCATCACCATCATAGCCATCACCATCACCATCACAGCCATCATCATCACAGCTATCACCATCATAGCCATCACCATTACAGCCATCACCATCACAGCCATCACCATCACAGCCATCACCATCATAGCCATTACCATCACAGCCATCACCATCACAGCTATCACCATCACAGCCATCAGCATCATAGCCATCACCATCATAGCCATCACCATCACCATCATAGCCACCACCATCACAGCCATCACCATCATAGCCATCACCATCATAGCCATCACCATCACAGCCATCACCATCACAGCCATCAGCATCATAGCCATCACCATCATAGCCATCACCATCACCATCATAGCCACCACCATCACAGCCATCACCATCATAGCCATCACCATCATAGCCATCACCATCACAGCCATCACCATCACAGCCATCAGCATCATAGCCATCACCATCATAGCCATCACCATCACCATCATAGCCATCACCATCACCATCACAGCCATCATCATCACAGCCATCATCATCATAGCCATTACCATCACAGCCATCACCATCACAGCCATCACCATCACAGCCATCACCATCACCATCATAGCCATCACCATCACCATCAAAGCCATCACCATCACAGCCATCACCATCACCATCACAGCCATCACCATCATAGCCATCACCATCACAGCCATCACCATCATAGCCATCACCATCACAGCCATCACCATCACCATCACAACCATCACCATCACAACCATCACCATCATAGCCATCACCATCACAGCCATCACCATCACAGCCATCACCATCATAGCCATCACCATCATAGCCATCACCATCATAGCCATCACCATCACAGCCATCACCATCATAGCCATCACCATCACAGCCATCACCATCATAGCCATCACCTTCACAGCCATCACCATCACCATCACAACCATCACCATCACAACCATCACCATCATAGCCATCACCATCACAGCCATCACCATCACAGCCATCACCATCATAGCCATCACCATCATAGCCATCACCATCATAGCCATCACCATCACAGCCATCACCATCACAGCCATCATCATCACAGCCATCACCATCACAGCCATCACCATCACAGCCATTACCATCATAGCCATTACCCTCATAGCCATCACCATCATAGCCATCACCATCATAGCCATCACCATCATAGCCATCACCATCACAGCCATCACCATCACAGCCATCACCATCACCATCACAGCCATCACCATCACAGCCATCACCATCATCGTCATCACCATCGTCACCATCACAGCCATCACCATCACAGCCATCACCATCACAGCCATCACCAACATAGCCATCACCATCATAGCCATCACCATCATAGCCATCACCATCACAGCCATCACCATCATAGCCATCACCATCATAGCCATCACCATCACAGCCATCACCATCATAGCCATCACCATCACAGCCATCACCATCACCATCATAGCCATCACCATCACAGCCATCACCATCAAAGCCATCACCATCACAGCCATCACCATCACCATCACAGCCATCACCATCATAGCCATCACCATCATAGCCATCACTATCATAGCCATCACCATCATAGCCATCACTATCACCATCACCATCACAGCCATCACCATCACAGCCATCACCATCATAGCCATCACCATCACCATCACAGCCATCATCAACATAGCCATCACCAACATAGCCATCACCATCACAGCCATCACCATCACAGCCATCACCAACATAGCCATCACCATCATAGCCATCACCATCACAGCCATCACCATCACAGCCATCACCATCAAAGCCATCACCATCACAGCCATCACCATCACCATCACAGCCATCACCATCACAGCCATCACCATCACAGCCATCACCATCACAGCCATCACCATCACCATCACAGCCATCACCATCATAGCCATCACCATCATAGCCATCACTATCATAGCCATCACCATCATAGCCATCACTATCACCATCACCATCACAGCCATCACCATCACAGCCATCACCATCATAGCCATCACCATCACCATCATAGCCATCACCATCACAGCCATCACCATCACAGCCATCACCATCACCATCATAGCCATCACCATCATAGCCATCACCATCACAGCCATCACCATCACAGCCATCACCATCACAGCCATCACCATCACCATCATAGCCATCACCATCACAGCCATCACCATCATAGCCATCACCATCACAGCCATCACCATCATAGCCATCACCATCACCATCATAGCCATCACCATCACAGCCATCACCATCACAGCCATCACCATCACAGCCATCACCATCAACATCACAGCCATCACCATCACAGCCATCACCATCACCATCACAGCCATCACGATCATAGCCATCACCATCATAGCCATCACCATCACAGCCATCACCATCACCATCACAACCATCACCATCACAGCCATCACCATCACAGCCATCACGATCATAGCCATAACCATCACAGCCATCACCATCACCATCACAGCCATCACCATCACAGCCATCACCATCATAGCCATCAAAATCACCATCACAGCCATCACCATCACAGCCATCACCATCACCATCATAGCCATCACCATCACAGCCATCACCATCACAGCCATCACCATCACCATCACAACCATCACCATCACAGCCATCACCATCACAGCCATCACGATCATAGCCATAACCATCACAGCCATCACCATCACCATCACAGCCATCACCATCACAGCCATCACCATCATAGCCATCAAAATCACCATCACAGCCATCATCATCACAGCCATCACCATCACCATCATAGCCATCACCATCATAGCCATCACCATCACCATCATAGCCATCACCATCACAGCCATCACCATCACCATCACAGCCATCACCATCACAGCCATCACCATCACAGCCATCACCATCACCATCATAGCCATCACTATCATAGCCATCACCATCACCATCACAGCCATCACCATCATAGCCATCACCATCACCATCACAGCCATCACCATCACAGCCATCACCATCACCATCACAGCCATCACCATCAAAGCCATCACCATCACCATCACAGCCATCACCATCACAGCCATCACCATCATAGCCATCACCATCACAGCCATCACCATCATAGCCATCACCATCACAGCCATCACCATCATAGCCATCACCATCACAGCCATCACCATCACAGCCATCACCATCACAGCCATCACCATCACCATCACAGCCATCACCATCACCATCATAGCCATCAACATCACAGCCATCACCATCACCATCACAGCCATCACGATCATAGCCATCACCATCATAGCCATCACCATCACAGCCATCACCATCACCATCACAACCATCACCATCACAGCCATCACCATCACAGCCATCACGATCATAGCCATCACCATCACCATCACAGCCATCACCATCACAGCCATCACCATCACCATCATAGCCATCACCATCATAGCCATCACGATCATAGCCATCACCATCACCATCACAACCATCACCATCACAGCCATCACCATCACAGCCATCACCATCATATCCATCAAAATCACCATCACAGCCATCACCATCACAGCCATCACCATCATAGCCATCACCATCATAGCCATCACCATCACAGCCATCACCATCATAGCCATCACCATCACCATCGCCATCACCATCACAGCCATCACCATCATAGCCATCACCATCATAGCCATCACCATCATAGCCATCACCATCACCATCACAGCCATCACCATCACCATCATAGCCATCACCATCACAGCCATCACCATCAAAGCCATCACCATCACAGCCATCACCATCACCATCACAGCCATCACCATCATAGCCATCACCATCATAGCCATCACTATCATAGCCATCACCATCATAGCCATCACTATCACCATCACCATCACAGCCATCACCATCACAGCCATCACCATCATAGCCATCACCATCACCATCACAGCCATCACCAACATAGCCATCACCAACATAGCCATCACCATCACAGCCATCACCATCACAGCCATCACCAACATAGCCATCACCATCATAGCCATCACCATCACAGCCATCACCATCACAGCCATCACCATCAAAGCCATCACCATCACAGCCATCACCATCACCATCACAGCCATCACCATCACAGCCATCACCATCAAAGCCATCACCATCACAGCCATCACCATCACCATCACAGCCATCACCATCATAGCCATCACCATCATAGCCATCACTATCATAGCCATCACCATCATAGCCATCACTATCACCATCACCATCACAGCCATCACCATCACAGCCATCACCATCATAGCCATCACCATCACCATCATAGCCATCACCATCACAGCCATCACCATCACAGCCATCACCATCACCATCATAGCCATCACCATCACAGCCATCACCATCATAGCCATCACCATCACAGCCATCACCATCACAGCCATCACCATCACCATCATAGCCATCACCATCACAGCCATCACCATCATAGCCATCACCATCACAGCCATCACCATCATAGCCATCACCATCACCATCATAGCCATCACCATCATAGCCATCACCATCACAGCCATCACCATCATAGCAATCACCGCTCATAGCCATCACCATCACCATCACACCATCACCCATCACAGCCATCACATCACAGTCACATCACCATCATATCCATCAAAATCACCATCACATGCCATCACCATCACAGCCATCACCATCCATAGCCATCAAACATCATAGCCATCACCATCACAAGCCATCCACCATCATGTAGCCATCACCATCACCATCGCCATCACCATCACAGCCATCACCATCATAGCCATCACCATCATAGCACTCACCATCAATAGCCATCACCATCAACATCACAGCACATCACCACCACCATCATAGCCATCACATCACAGCCATCACCATCAAAGCCATCACCATCACAGCCCATCACCATCACCATCACAGCACAATCACCATCATAGCCCATCACCATCATAGCCATACACTATCGATAGCCATCACCATCATAGCTCTCACGTATCACCATCACCATCACAGCCATCACCATCACAGCCTATCCACCATCATATCCATCACCATCACCATCACAGCGCACTCACCAACATTAGCCATCACAACATAGCCATCACCATCACAGCCATCACCATCACACGCCATCACTACCAACATAGCCATCACCATCATAGCCATCCAGCCAGCACAGCCATCACCATCACAGCCATCACCATCAACAGCCACTCACCATCACAGCCATCACCTCACCACCACAAATCACCATCACAGCCATCACCATCACAGCCATCACGATTCATAGCCATAACCATCACAGCCATCACCATCACCATCACAGCCATCACCATCACAGCCATCACCATCATAGCCATCAAAATCACCATCACAGCCATCACCATCACCATCATAGCCATCACCATCATAGCCATCACCATCACCATCATAGCCATCACCATCACAGCCATCACCATCACCATCATAGCCATCACCATCATAGCCATCACCATCACCATCATAGCCATCACCATCACAGCCATCACCATCACCATCACAGCCATCACCATCGCAGCCATCACCATCACAGCCATCACCATCACCATCATAGCCATCACTATCATAGCCATCACCATCACCATCACAGCCATCACCATCATAGCCATCACCATCATCATCACAGCCATCACCATCACAGCCATCACCATCACCATCACAGCCATCACCATCAAAGCCATCACCATCACCATCACAGCCATCACCATCACAGCCATCACCATCATAGCCATCACCATCACAGCCATCACCATCATAGCCATCACCATCACAGCCATCACCATCATAGCCATCACCATCACCATCATAGCCATCACCATCACAGCCATCACCATCACAGCCATCACCATCACAGCCATCACCATCACCATCACAGCCATCACCATCACCATCATAGCCATCAACATCACAGCCATCACCATCACCATCACAGCCATCACGATCATAGCCATCACCATCATAGCCATCACCATCACAGCCATCACCATCACCATCACAACCATCACCATCACAGCCATCACCATCACAGCCATCACGATCATAGCCATCACCATCACCATCACAGCCATCACCATCACAGCCATCACCATCACCATCACAGCCATCACCATCACAGCCATCACCATCATATCCATCAAAATCACCATCACAGCCATCACCATCACAGCCATCACCATCACCATCATAGCCATCACCATCACAGCCATCACCATCACCATCATAGCCATCACCATCACAGCCATCACCATCACCATCACAGCCATCACCATCACAGCCATCACCATCACAGCCATCACCATCACCATCACAGCCATCACCATCATAGCCATCACCATCACCATCACAGCCATCACCATCACAGCCATCACCATCACAGCCATCACCATCATAGCCATCACCATCACAGCCATCACCATCATAGCCATCACCATCACCATCACAGCCATCACCATCACAGCCATCACCATCATAGCCATCACCATCACAGCCATCACCATCATAGCCATCACCATCACCATCATAGCCATCACCATCACCATCATAGCCATCACCATCACAGCCATCACCATCACCATCACAGCCATCACAGCCATCACCATCATAGCCATCACCATCACCATCATAGCCATCACCATCATAGCCATCACCATCACCATCACAGCCATCACCATCATAGCCATCACTATCACAGCCATCACCATCACCATCACAGCCATCACCATCATAGCCATCACCATCACCATCATAGCCATCACCATCACCATCATAGCCATCACCATCATAGCCATCACCATCATAGCCATCACCATCATTACCATCATAGCCATCATCAACGTCATCAACACATCACCATCATCAACATCACCATCATAGCCATCATCAACATCATCAACACATCACCATCATCAACATAGCCATCATCACCATCATCATCACCATCATCATCAACATCACCAACATCACCATCATCATTATATAAATCATCACCATCATCATCACCATCATCATCAACATCACCACCAACATCATCATCATCATCATATAAATCATCACCATCATCACCATCTTCATCATAGCCATCATGAGCATTATCACCATCATCAACATCACCACCATCATCACTATCATCATCATATAAATCATCGCCATCATGGCCATCATCAACACATCATCATAGCCACATTGATCTCCTTCCAGCAGTGATGGCCCGTGATGCTGTTGAAATGCTGATGATCCTGATGATGCTGATACTGCTGATGATGATGCTGCTGATGATGCTGATGATGATGCTGAGGCCTCACCACAGGATGTGTTGATGGTGTCGCGCAGCTGATGATCCTGATGATGCTGCTGCTGCTGATGATGATGCTTATGATGATGCTGCTTATGATGATGCTGCTGATAATGCTGATTATGCTGATGCTGATGATGATGCTGAGGCCTCACCACAGGATGTGTTGATGGTGTCGCGCAGCTGTTGATGCTGCTGCGGCTGATGATGATGCTTATGATGATGCTGCTGATGATGATGCTGAGGCCTCACCACAGGATGTGTTGATGGTGTCGCGCAGCTCTGCGTATTTCCAGCTTCTGAGGTCGTGTTTCTGTGGTTGATCTCCTGCTGGATGAGGGAGGCCATAGCCAGAACCCCTACTCGGCACACACAGGGCCCAGGGTTAGCCTTGCCTCGACCACCAACTCACCCAGCCACCCACTCACTCACACACTAATCAATCACTGACTCACCCACCCGCACACTCACCCAGCCACCGACTCACTCACCCACTAATCACTCACCCACCCACCAACTCACTCACCCACTAATCAATCACTCACTCACCCACCCGCACACTCACCCAGCCACCCACTCACTCACCCACTAATCACTCACCCACCCACCCACTCACCCACTAATCACTCACCCAGCCACCCACTCACTCACCCACTAATCAATCACTCACCCACCCACTCACTCACCCACTAATCAATCACTCACCCACCCACCCGCACACTCACCAAGCCACCCACTCACTCACCCACTAATCAATCACTCACCCACCCACTCACTCACCCACTAATCAATCACTCACCCACCCACCCGCACGCTCACCCAGTCACCCACTCACCCACCAAACCATCCAGTAACCCACTCACTCACCCACCCAACCACTCAAACATTCACCCACTCACTCAGTCGCTCACGCAATCATTCACCCACTCACTCATTCACCCACTCACTCACTCAATCACCCACGCACTAAAGCACTAATGCAGTCATTCACTCACCCACTCACTCACCCACTCACTCACTCACCGCACCATTCACCCACCCACCCACTCATTCACTCACCCACCCACTCATTCACTCACTCACTCACCGCACCATTCACCCACCCACCCACTCATTCACTCACCCACTCACTCACCCACTCATTCACTCACCGCACCATTCACCCACCCAATCACTAAATCATTCACCTACCCACCCACCCACCCATTCACCCACTCACCCTCTCACCCATTCACCTACTCACCTTCTCACCCATCCACCTATCCACTCACCCACCCATTCGCCTACTCACCCTCTCACCCATTCACCTACCCACTCACCCATTCACCCACTCGCCCTGTCACCCATTCACCTACCCACTCACCCACCCATTCAGCCATTCACCCACCGACCCAACTCATTCACCCACCCACTCACCCATGCTTGGCAGGCCATGAGTGATGGTGGTGTTGCTGGGGTAACTGATTTACCTCGCTAGGATCTCCGTCATTTCTTTCGCCATTTCCTCCCTGAGAGAGTGAGGGAGAGAGGGTGAGTGGGTGGGTGAGTGAGTGGGAGGGTGAGTGGGTGGGTGATTGAGTGGGTGGGTGAGTGGGTGGGTGAGTGGGTGGGTGAGTGAGTGGGTGAGTGCATGAGTGAGAGGGTGAGTGGGTGGTTGAGTGGGTGGTTGAGTGGGTGGGTGAGTGGGTGGGTAAGTGGGTGAGTGCATGAGTGAGAGGGTGAGTGGGTGGTTGAGTGGGTGGTTGAGTGGGTGGGTGAGTGGGTGAGTGCATGAGTGGGTGGTTGAGTGGGTGGTTGAGTGGGTGGTTGAGTGGGTGGTTGAGTGGATGGGTGGGTGAGTGGGTGAGTGCATGAGTGAGAGGGTGAGTGGGTGGTTGAGTGGTTGAGTGGGTGGTTGAGTGGGAAGTTGAGTGGGTGGTTGAGTGGGTGAGTGCATGAGTGAGAGGGTGAGTGGGTGGTTGAGTGGGTGGGTAATTGTGTGAGTGAGAAAGTGTGTAGGTGAGTGAGTGAGTGTAGAGGTGAATGAGTGAGGGAGTAGGTGAGTGAATAGGTGAGTGCGTAGGCGAGTGCGAAGGTGAGTGTGCGGGTGAGTAGGTGAGTGTGTGGTGCTCGCTAACAGCACTTGCCCCTACAGTCTGTTAAGGCTATATGGGGGATCTTTGTCTTTGTTTGTGTAGGTGAGTGAGTAGGTGAGTGAGTAGGTGAGTGAGTAGGTGAGTGTGTAGGTGAGTGAGTAGGTGAGTGTGTAGGTGAGTGAGTAGGTGAGTGTGTAGGTGAGTGAGTAGGTGAGTGAATATGTGAATGAGTGAGTGAGTGGTGAGTGAGTGGTGAGAGAGTGGTGAGTGCGTAGGCGAGTGCGAAGGTGAGTGTGCGGGTGAGTAGGTGAGTGAGTGGTGAGTGAGTTGTGAGTGAGTGGTGAGGGAGTGGTGAGTGAGTGGTGAGTGAGTAGGTGAGTGAGTGGTGAGGGAGTGGTGAGTGAGTAGGTGAGTGAGTAGGTGAGTGAGTAGGTGAGTGTGTAGGTGAGTGAGTAGGTGAGTGAGTAGGTGAGTGTGTAGGTGAGTAGGTGAGTGTGTGGGTGAGTGTGTAGGTGAGTGAGTAGGTGAGTGGGTGAGTGGGTAGATGAGTGAGTAGGTGAGTGACTAGGGGAGTGTGTAGGTGAGTGATTGGGTGAGTGAGTGGGTGAGTGAGTAGGTGAGTGAGTGGATGAGTGAGTAGGTGAGTGAGTAGGCGAGTGAGTGGTTGAGTGAGTGGGTGAGTGAGTAGGTGAGTGAGTAGGCGAGTGAGTGGGTGAGTGAGTGGGTGAGTGAGTAGGTGAGTGAGTGGTGGGTGAGTAGGTGAGTGTGTGGGTGAGTGAGTAGGTGAGTGAGTAGGTGAGTGAGTAGGTGAGTGTGTGAGTGAGTGTTTAGGTGAGTGAGTAGGTGAGTGAGTAGGTGAGTGTGTAGGTGAGTGAGTGGTGAGTGAGTGGTGAGTGAGTAGGTGAATGTATAGGTGAGTGTGTAGGTGAGTGAGTAGGTGAGTGAGTGGTGAGTGAGTGGGTGAGTGAGTAGGTGAGTTAGTAGGTGAGTGAGTGGTGAGTGAGTGGTGAGTGAGTAGGTGAGTGAGTAGGTGAGTGAGTAGGTGAGTGAGTGGTGAGTGAGTGGTGAGTGACTAGGTGAGTGTGTAGGTGAGTGTGTGGGTGAGTGAGTGGCTGAGGGTGTAGGTGAGTGAGTACGTGAGTGAGCAGGTGAGTGAGTGGTGAGTGAGTAGGTGAGTGAGTAGGTGAGTGAGTAGGTGAGTGAGTGGTGAGTGAGTAGGTGAGTGAGTAGGTGAGTGAGTGGTGAGTGTGTAGGTGAGTGAGTAGGTGAGTGAGTGGTGAGTGAGTGTGAGTGAGTAGGTGAGTGTGTGGGTGAGGGAGTAGGTGAGTGAGGTGGTGAGTGAGTAGGTGAGTGTGTAGGTGAGTGGGTGAGTGAGTAGGTGAGTGAGTAGGTGAGTGAGTGGTGAGTGAGTGGTGAGTGAGTGGTGAGTGCGTAGGTGAGTGAGTAGGTGAGTGAGTGGTGAGTGATTGGTGAGTGAGTGGTGAGTGAGTAGTTGAGTGGTGAGTGAGTAGGTGAGTGAGTGGTGAGTGAGTGGTGAGTGAGTGGTGAGTGAGTAGGTGAGTGAGTGGTGAGTGGGTGGTGAGAGAGTGGTGAGTGAATGAGTGAGTGGTGAATGAGTGGTGAGTGAGTAGGTGAGTGAGTGGTGAGTGAGTGGTGAGTGAGTAGGTGAGTGAGTGGTGAGTGAGTGGTGAGTGTGGTGAGTGAATGAGTGAGTGGTGAATGAGTGGTGAGTGAGTAGGTGAGTGAGTGGTGAGTGAGTGGTGAGTGAGTGGTGAGTGAGTAGTTGAGTGGTGAGTGAGTGGTGAGTGAGTGGTGAGTGAGTGGTGAGTGAGTGGTGAGAGAGTGGTGAGTGGTGAATGAGTGGTGAGTGAGTAGGTGAGTGAGTGGTGAGTGAGTGGTGAGTGAGTAGGTGAGTGAGTGGTGAGTGAGTGGTGAGAGAGTGGTGAGTGAATGAGTGAGTGGTGAATGAGTGGTGAGTGAGTAGGTGAGTGAGTGGTGAGTGAGTGGTGAGTGAGAGGTGAGTGAGTGGTGAGTGAGTGGTGAGTGAGTGGTGAGTGAGTGGTGAGTGAGTGGTGAGTGAATGAGTGAGTGGTGAATGAGTGGTGAGTGAGTAGGTGAGTGAGTGGTGAGTGAGTGGTGAGTGAGAGGTGAGTAAGTGGTGAGTGAGTGGTGAGTGAGTGGTGAGTGAGTGGTAAGATGTCAACTCACATTGACATCTTAGCTGCCGTCTCCTTGCTCCTGGGAAAGACATCAGTGGTGGTTATGGTGATGGTGATGATGGTGGTGATGATGGTGGTG